AAATTGGGACTGTAACGGAACTGCTCCAATCTACTGGGGCAATTTCCTGCTCAAAGAACTATACATGTAACTTGTGCAGGTTATCTACTATTGCAGGTCCCCCGAATTTGATTATGGTTGAAAGAATTCCCACTGATTCTGCGGCGTTGTTCACTTTCAGCCGTTTGATCTCACGTTCGACTTTTGCGCATGAGGATGGATGCAATAGGGCGGCCCAGGGAGAACAGCGTTCATTGCTCGATGAACAAGCTGGCGTCTGGTTGATTGACCTGCTTTACAAAGTGTTTCGCCTATCGCTTTACTCGTTTTGACAAATTGTGGACTGACCATCCACTCTCGTAACGTGTGGTCTCACTAACACCAGGTCTCCTGCTCGGAATAACTTCCGATGGTTACCAAGTGCAGCGGCCGTTTCCACCTCTGATGCACGATGAGACCACCAGGCTTCTCAGTTTCTCTTCAGGCTAGCTCTCACTTTCGCCCTGAGATCTTTGCGAGTCTTGTTATGTTCGCTCTCAGTCGGAATGTGTCGCCCAACATCCAAAGGTTCCAGTGACCTTGTAGAGATCTAATGTCCAGGTTGGCAATTTAACTTGCCACATGAAGATATATCTGTTGGTAATAACGTCTGTTGAATATACGACCGGTGCCCCTCTACTGTGTTTAGAGATCGATTACTCTTATCGGATGCCAGCGTACTTTGATACGCATTCAGAACACCTGCATTCGGCTTCTGCAAAATGTCATGCACTCGCCGCATGCGCCCGGCGAGGCGAACTGTAAGATCGGCACAAACGAGTGCGTAGTTGCAGTCCACGCTCGTGCTCTACTTCGAGCGACAGTTTTGGACACAATTTCTCCAGCGGTAACTGATCGCGATGTGATGGATTTGCGTCCATTGTTTGGTCGGAGGCTGGTGGGCGCGAAGTCACTATTCGGCGAGTGCTCTGTCGAAAATTAGTGCCTGCAAGAAATAGACGAACCTCTTCACACAGGTGTAGCAACCACTCACGGTTCTCATTACGCCATATTTCCGCGCAGATAAGACTCATCAGTTGGCAATTTTCATACTGGGGCGTTCAGATCACTAGCCAGCACCACTATATCCGTACTTTTCCCGTAACAAAGGAGCTCGTTCATTTGATGCTAGAAATCATCTTTCAATGAATCAGTGCTACAGTTTGCGAAGGCGTAGGCAGCAACGACAAACGGTGCCCGTTTGTCCCCACGCGACTTCGAAGTTTTGAACGATCTAGCCAATCGGACGTCGCACATCTGGCTGTTGCTTGGGATCACATCAACCAGGACAGCTTCAACCCGTTGACTCAGAGCAAAGCACACACCGGCTTTATCGGCATATATAACTGCATCATCTCTAGACACAAACACAATGAAAAAGTTACGCCAGTGTCGTTTGTGGGGGATCGCCGGCGGTTTCCGATAAAGAGCAGCTCTCAATCGATAGGGTTTCTAGTGTTTGGGCAAGTGCTGTCTGTTGCTCAGGCTGTAACAAAGTACGCACCTTGAGGCATGCTAATCTTAGCGAGGATCGGGGACCTTTAACTAGAGACGGATGAACTGACGTTGTATACTTGTTTGATCATGGATTTGTCAACTGGACTGGAGCGATGCCCTGTGATTGCGTGTGAGTCGAAACTAGAAGACAAACGACCATTGAAGCAAGATGGGGGACAGCCAAAAATTGGTTTTAAAACAGCGAGCATAAAACTGAAGTTGGAGCGGAACGATAAAGCTGAAATTACATAACAGGGCATAAGAAGACGTGTAGGTTGGAGTATAGTAGCTTCCAAACCTCTATTCACCCTGCTCGATGCAGCAAATAGGGCGCCGTTGATTATCCTCTGCGTCTGCCAGAGCATAAAGAAATTGTTTGTAGATGAGTTCGTTGTATGGCATGTGCGATTAGGATTATTAGTCAGTTCCTCTGGTTCAAGAATCTGCCCGCAAGGCAGCGAGGTTTTGGCACTGTACTACAGAATTCGTTTTATAAAGTAACCACTCTCACCCCAACTTGGAGGGCCAGGAGACTGTTTGTCTGGCTTCTAACCAATTTGTTATGGGTTGCTCTGACAGTGCGAAAAGCACCACCTGCCATAGCACACTGGATCGCTGTGGCACACAAACCATTACACCACGTTAAGGTCCAATCTCGTTGCGATGGTCAACTTCTCCCCGGCCATTGTGAAATGGAGGCAGAGTTTGCTGAGTTAATGTTTGAAATTTGAGCATCACAACACATCTGTCAGCCGACACGTATCACACTGCTTTCACCTCCGTCGTGCTTGAAACTGAAGTTAACTAGCTGCGGATAAATTAGGTTTTAAGTTCAGGTTCGGGATCTACTGCTAACTAGTGGCTGCTCGTTTATTCCAGTCATCTTGGAGCTGCCGCTGCGTTACTCGCCTTCGTTGAAGTCATACTACAGTTATTGTACGACTGATTTAGGTAGTGTCACTCGAGCCGCTAGTTAGCTGAACTTGTCGGTACCACAGGATTCATCTGTTGAAGCCCCTTGGTGTGTTATGAAAGAGGACGTGAAATCGTTGTGCGCTTGATCCGTACCCTTCGATTATCGGAGTTAGGTCTTTGAAGCCATTTTGGTTCGACAAAGAGTTGATGACGTCTACACACTACTCACCCACCCACGATGACGAGGTGTGCAAAAGGCAGCAGAATTTATGCAACAGCGCGAAAGCACATAGGCTACGGCAGTTGGAAGAGCACCTTGCAGCTGCATCGAAGGCGGACCCCAAGAGGATCTTTTCTGACGTGAAGCGACGCCTGTTACTTGCAGGCCACGTGGCACTTAATGTGCACCTGCACAGGCGATATACTTCCCTTCCGTATTTGCAATTAGCCTTGTGTCTGTACCGAGTTCGACGTGTGTACCCCCATCCACACTCGATTAGTAGGATTGCAGTGGGGAAGATGTACGCAAGCTTGAAGCTTCTAGTTGCGATGAGCTCCATTCTCTATTTTGCAATTCATTGGCATTCCGTGATTAATATGTTCAACAAATCACTGCCCGAAGGTAAATTGCCGAGAGATTAGAAGTTATTTCCGAAGGGCGGTAACTCAATTAGTGTGGTGAGTTACCGGCGAATTTGACTAACCTTCGCTTTGCCCAAAATCGCGACGTAGGTTCTGCTGCAACCGCTGGAGTCAGAAGGTATTATGGTGCCGGCCCAGCACGGTTTCATGAAAGGCTGCTCACGCGTCACCAACTTGCTCGTTACGGAGCAAGTCTGTCGACATGATCTACATTGATTTCAGGAATGCATCCGACAAAGTGAACCATGGGGTCCACCTCCACAAGCTCAGATGTGCAGCGTTGATCGCTCACTACACCAGAGGATCATGGACTTTCTTATTGGGAGGAAGTGGAGGACATAGGAAGATGATCATCTAACTGATTGGTATCCCACCACCAGTAGGATGCCCCAAGGCACAGTGCTGGGGCCCATTTTGTTCCTTATCCACATCAACGTAGTACCTCAGCTTTCTCAACCACTTTGTTTGTGGACGATTTGAAGATTTGAAGGGCAATTGTTGCTCCCGACAGCTGCGATATACTTTAGGATGACCTCGAGCACTTGTCCATGGGGTTTGCATATGTCGGTCTGCTTGTCAACTCAGTCAAATCGTTATTTATGAGCCTGAGAAACGGTGGTGATGGGCGTAGGTACACTCTGGGTAGGCAATCTCTGCATCCCACATCTGTGATTTGAAGTCCCGTGGTTAACGCGGTCAGACTATATGGAGACGGATTGCGTATTCTTTGGACGGTCAAGTTAACTTCTGCACTTACTTTGAAGAGATTGTTACCCGTCTCTCTCAGGATAAGTAAGTATACCTCACCCGCCTGTTGTCCGACTACCTGTGGCGGGGTGCAAAAACTGGAATGTGTTCAACTTGGATCCTATAAGCTCATCCTTAGTTTACGGTTTGTGTCGTACGAAGACCGATGCAGACGACTTATACTGTGCACCCTGTCGTATCATCAGTTTCGAGTCGACCTACTAGTAACCCACCGGATATTACCTCTTGGTGACTTCCCCATACTGTCCGCTGCTGCACTGACGCACATCAAGCAACGCTCGCGACCAGCGGACAGGGTCGTTGTACCAGATCACATACATATAACACACTCGATGCTTCGGGCGTCGAGTGGCGAGATATTAGAGCAAGTTGCCCGCGACAATTTTCCTAGTTGCGGTTTTCAGATTTCGAAAGCGCATTGCACTTGAATGGGACTTTGTACAACTGAAATATGTGGAAAATGCTCTGTGAAAAATTACATTATTCTGCGGCTCTGCATGACCCAACTTCGATAGAGGCGCATAGATGTATGTCTTAGGTTTCTCAGGTTCCACTATTTAGTATTAATTCTTGGTCAGTATAAAGCGCTCTGTAAGCTAATTTATTTATCTAAAACTTCTAAAAGGGATGGTTTTCTGATGCCTGAGAAGGCTTCCGGACATGTTTCAACTCGTTTTCATCTCCAAAGTTTATGCATTTGAAGCGTGAGTGGTACCCACCTGTTGATCGTTTTTCCGAGCTTGGTTAAGAAATCACATACGTTTCACCACCATGCGAGGTGGCATCTTCACTGAGGTAATAGGCAGTGTATAATGCTGCTTATTATACACTGCCTATTACCGCACTGAAGGTGCCACCTCGCATGGTGGTGAAACGTATGCGATCTCTTAACCAAGCTCGAAAAAACGATCAACATGTGAGTATCCAAGCCGGGCTACCAGTGTTCCAAATTATTTCGAGTGGTACCCATTTGTGTAAAAGCGCTTTGTTCTCCACTTGCATATGATTGCGTTCATTGTGTTTTTATTTTGCAATATGTTTTTATTACAAAATGCGATCCCGTTGCTTAGCCGGCTGCTGTTACTTTTTAGCCCTTACTTTTTAGTTTCACCATCTGCCATCTCCCCTCGGATTTTTAGCACTCGTGTTTTTTCATCTTCAGGGATATTCCTATGCCGTTGGTCACAAGCGGCGTGGAACACGGCAATCTACGTGAACTTGTGCTTTCTCGTATGGCGGATCTTGGTGTAACCTGTCGAGATGTTAGAACTCGTGAAGTTGGTATCCAAGAAATTCATTCCCGGGTCAGACCTTTCCAAGTAAGCCTTTGCATTTGTCTGTTTTCATCCTATGTTATGTACATAAACAAGCCACTAAATCACTAAATAAAAGGGTATATCTGGACTTTTCAAAACTTGATCCATTGGAATCAGATAATTATGTACATGAACTCTATGATTGCCTATGACTAACGCAAGAAAACGTAAGTCTTTCCTGATCCCGAGAGCCTATAACAGTCTATGTAGATTGGGAGTTCAATCGGGATTAGCATGAGGTAGATCCTTATAACTTTCTTACGAGACATCAGATAACGGCGAATGCTTCGGTCTTCCGCGGATACATTCATCATTTTCATTACATCTACAAGGCCCACTTCATATTTAACCATCGAAATAAAAACGTAAACATAAGGACAGGTGATAAACAGGTTCTAGAACGATTGTCGGTAAATCAATAAAATGCTATAGCGGAGTCAAGGAAACGAGTGCAAATGTATACATCTGAGAAAGTGAACACGGAAGCGGTGTTGCCTGCTAATTCTCAAATTTTCTGGTGATGGATCTGTGGACAGGTTCGTGCCTTGTCGATTTCTCATAGCTCAACATACTCAGTTCAAAGATGTAGTGATTAAGCATAATCGAACACCGTTGGTTAAGTATCCTTTTGGGTACGCACTACGAATGTTAAAAGCAGAGATATCAAACCATCCGGAATCGGGAATCATCACCATCATTAATACACGTTAGCTGAGGGTGAGAAACACTCCTCAGCTAATGGGCCGCAATATCAAAAGATAAGCTACTAGAAAGTTGCACCACAGGAGTAAATTCCAAAGCATGTAATATTGTTATATATTCTATTGCGCATTTCGTATGAGATGGGGATTGGTGGGGGAATCTAAAGGGGAGAGAGATGGACAAAGAAACTCACAACACAAACGCCGTTGGGGTCGGCTCTTCACCATATCAGCAAATGTGTCCAACCAAACGTCTCTAGGACCTCAGCCAGACAGACGCGATGCGCCAACCGACGCCATCTTCAAAGTGAGAGTTTTCATTTCCCTCCACCACGCCTCCTCTCTTTCCAATCGCACCGCCGGCGTGCAAACAATGCACGTCGCAGGAGTCGGTTTGCTGGCGTGCACAACACGTGACCCTGCCATCGAAGCCTGGTGCGGTGTATTCTGGTGTTGAGCGGTTCACTCGCTCCTCACCAAATACACGACGCCGAACACATTTTATTATATTACTAATGAGTAGGATGATTTTTTAAATTGTGATTGTAATGTTTTCGTCCCAGCTGTTCACAAGCCACATAGCACAGCGTAGTCCGGAAAAGCCCCAGACGCCTTTCGCCCTATTGGGGCTCGTCATTGGTGCGCATTTTCTCGGTCCCCTACTGGGGATCGAACCCATGACCGCTGGAGGCAGATGCCAACCAACCAGCATCTTAAGCCACTGAGCCATGGGGGACGTCGGCTGGGCTACACAATTTGCAAGCTAACTGGGATATAGCACGACCTATCTTCCACTGCCACGCAGGTTACTACCTTAGCAGATGACAGTGGCTAGCCTCCGAAGGTCATGACTTCTCACTAGACGCTACGTCCGTAGCATTTGAAACTAGGAATGAGCACCACTGACGAGCCCCAATAAGGCGAAACGCGTCTGGTGCTTTTCCGGACTAGTCTGTGCTATTTTGCTTGTGAGCAGCTGGGACAAAAACATTCCAGTTACATTTTGTTGTGTCGGACACTGCTAGAGTAGAGCGTAGGCCAATCCCCAGCGATGAAGAACGAGCAGGACGAATACGCGAAAAACCGGAGTTTATTCTGAGAACGGATGAGGAATTCACTTTACAGCCTGCGCTAGCCAAACACACGTTCCATCAGGGATATTGATTTCAATTCAACACTGGTCTATTGATCGATATCTTTCCGGTGCGTTCGGCATCAGCCAGCTTGAACTTTGGCTCAGCTCGTTCTGGTTTTTGAGGCAGCTGGTTGAGTGAATGCAGTCCACGTGTGTCACGGCGGGCCAGCGTGCAAACCGAGAACCGTAGCGCAACACTGAATCGATCTACAATTGAAGATCGAAGTCGAGCAGAGATCAAACGCGAATCTATGTGGGGTCAGCGGCAAGTTGAACCCTGAACTTGAACCGTTCGAGTTGTGTTAATTGATATTAATTGGTATCCCCAATATTGTTGTGTTAGTATTTGCCCTCTATTTATTGCGCTATGCTCTCATACAACACGAATCCCTCGGTCCGGCTGGTCGGGGCATTCTCATTTCGTTGCGGGATAGAACTGGTTGGGGGCGGCACAGCAGATTCAAGCAGGTTATTCGTGCATTCAGCAGAAACCACAACAACGTGCTCCGCAGATTTGCGCTCAAGTAACCGTACTCTCCTAGCACTTCCCCTTAGATTATTCGATTTCCGATCTCCCTCTTCGATGAAGCTGCAACGGAGTTACTGGCTTACACGTACGGCTGGATTTGCGTCTTTGTGGGGGCCGACAGCCCACTTTTGATGACCACAGCGATAGTCTCTAACTAACACACGATCTCCTGATCTCAACGTCCGTTTTTCTTGCATTACTACCCATGGCTTGCTCGAAACTGGTCGGATAACATCATGTGCTAGATGTAATTTCCGGTTCATCAAAGCTTCAGGGGGCAAGCAGTTGTTCCGACTTTGCGGATTTGCAATGATTCTGTAGGTTTGCAGGGATGTATCCAGTATTCTCACTGTCGTTCCCTCCCTCCTGGATTTCCGTAGGACCTTTGTCACAGGTGGATTCGACTCTCTCAGGATATGGGTAGGTGTTGATGAACACAACTGTTGATGGGCATGTCGGAAAGTTCCAAACGATCAATACAGTCAATACCAAGAATGTTGTGTTCACAACCAACTATGTAAATGCTACCATGATCGCGCTTGGCCGAGCTTGTCAGCTTACAATCAAATTCACCAAGCAATTTGATTTTACCGCCGGATGCATTTCTGACCGTCTTATTAGTCCGACGATATCCTGGCAATCGTTATGTCGGACGCCGTATCAAGTTGTAAACGAACCGTTCTTCCGTTTATTCTCGCACTCACGTATTTGCGTTGGGGTTTAAAATCAGGATTAGTTATTGCCAGCACGGCGTTGAATTTGGGCTCGGTCCTATATGAGTGACTGACCGATGGACATCTTTGGCTAGGTGTCCGGATAAGTTTCCTTGTTCGGCATTGCTTTTCTTTGTGGCCGGGTCGATTGTACACTGAGCATTTGTGCCTCTTATAAGGTCAGAACTTTACGAAATGCCATTCTTGACACTACCAGCATGCGCATGGTGTTTTCGCTACGATATGTCCTGCTGTTCCGGCTGATTATCTTAAGCATGTCTTTGTGACATTGAAAGTGCAGTTGGAGGATGTACGCTCAAGCATGGTTGTATCGTGTTTGGAGTTTACAACACGCTGACACTCATGCGTTATCTGCTGTAGCATCATATCTGGGGACAATTCAATCTTGCTCAATAACCTGGTCCTGATCTCGCTGTGGACGTGTGACTGGAGACCACAAATGAAAACCAGACACTTGAACTGATCTTCTGTCATAGTAGACAGTTTGCATTGTTCGCACTCGAAATTGACTCTACCAGCATATGTGATGAAATTTTCACCCTCCTGTTTGACAACTTTCCTGCATTGGTATTGGGTATTAAACAAACAAGAACGCTCAGTGGAAATTCCCGATAGCTGACGTACGGTTTCGTCAAAAGTGAGATCCCTGGCGTTCCTTGGCAGGATAAAATTTGTGTATCGTCTGTGCTCAGTTGCATCCAGCTTCCGCAGCAACAGCCTGACTCGTCATGCATCGTCTTTGTGCTTCAGTTCGATTTTGAAAATGTCCTCCTATCGTTTGAACCACGATTCAAAAATCAGCCCAGCATCTGGTTCATTGTGGAACTCCGTGATGCTATTTGCAATGGTTTTGACTGCATTTTCTTCCGGGACAGGAATTGCTGCTGAATCGCCGCGTCAAATTTTCCATTATTCGCATCTGGACCACCTCGAACTGAGTTTGCTTTTGGAGCAGGATTGCCTTTACTTCCTATGCAGTTATTGACATGTTGCGTGAGCTGCCGTTGCCAACTCTCTTACGTCACACACACTGCTAGAGTAGGGTGTACGCCAATCCCTAGCGATGAAGAACGAGCGGGACGAGTACGCGAAAAACCGGAGTTTATTCTGAGAACAGAACTTGAACCATACGCGGGTAAAGAATTCACACTATAGCCTGCATTAACCTAATGCGATTTCAAATCAACGCTGGTCTGTTGATCACTATCTTTCCGGTGCGTTAGGCATCAGCCGGCTTGACCTTGGGCTCAGCTCGTTCTGGTATTTGAGGCAGCTGATTGACTGAACGCAATTCACTTGCTCCGCAGATTTACACTCGAAAAACCGTACCGTCATAGCACATTCACTGCTCACTCGGTGCTCCCATCAGATATGACCTAAGCTGCAAAGGTAGCAATGATCGAACGTGACTAGCCTCTTTACGTTTGTCCACTTGATGGGCCAGGTTTCACAACCGTATGAAACCTTTGAACGGACGGTTGCGTTATAAACTTTGCGCCTTAGGGCGAGAGTGATGTCGCATCTGCGCAACAGGTGACGGAAATTCGCACAAGCACCTCGAACCTTTGCGCTGCGGTTTGTCACTAGTATAGTTGCCTAGCTACTTGAATTTCTTGATGACCTCTAGCTGATCACCACCAAGGGTCAGCGCAGAAGTGGAACCTTGCCGATTTCGGAGACGGATTTTGCACTTCGAAGCCGCAAAGCATAGTCCGAAAAGATTGACAGCCGGTGTGAATTTGTCCATTGCTGTTCGTGAGCCGTCACAGATTAAAGCAATGTCACCAGGGTACTCCAAGTCAAGAAATTGATCAGCTGGGACTACCTCTACAGCATGTACGTCGAGTCCAGTGAACTCTGTTTCCATGACTTCGTCAATGGCGAAGTTGAAAAGGAAAGGTGAC